GGAGTATATCAGACAGGTAGACGCTCACCTGAGCGCCCGGTGACTAAGTGAAGAAGGTAAGAAAGTGCTGCTACGCTGGCGGCTGCTTTTGAGGCTCGGTTTGTCATGGTTCGCATGATAGATGGAGGAAGCGGGAGCTTCGGCTCTCCAGTGTATATATATATGTATGATGTTGAGTTTTAACCACGGAGACACCTTGCGATCATCCCGTCCGTTAACTCGTTCGCCTACCGCAAATAGAATCTTACACGCCTCGCGTGTTCCCGTTGCCGCCAATGACGAAACTGTGAAATTTATTTCCGACTGATTCCTCTACGCTTCTAATGTCTTCCTCGCGAATGTATCAAAAGTTAATGATCGGTTTCTAATCTAACTCTCCACGCTTGAGCCGTAATTTTGGTCTATACTTTATCAGAAGAGACGAAAACAAATTTTCACGAGTTGGAAGCCTTCACGTTCATAGCGTTACTCATTCGTTAGCAATAACTCTGCGACATGACGAGAAGGCAATGTGCGAAGGTCTTTTTCTACATTACAACTGCAGATATGCGCCGTATCTTGAAGAATAATGAGACCTGCAGCGAGGAAATTAATAAACGTAAGTAGTAAACGTTAGTAAAAGTTGCTGAGTAAGTCAAATATAACTTCTTGTACATTAGCGCGACCTTATAACTGTTCTCATTATTTTTTCCGTTATTGCTGTACCGAGTAACTTTAATACTGTGTTCCATAATACATAAAACTGAGTTTTAATATCGACTGAATATTTTCAATTTGAAGATTTTTATGTAGATTGATTTACGCACGCTTTTTTGCAAATGTTTTTCGAATTAATTGTTAAACACAATAAAACAAATGCTGAATAGCAAACGGAGTTATGACTTTCGTTTCATTAAGCGATGCTTGAAGATATGTAATTTGGTGTTTCAAGTGACATGAGAATTATTGCATAAACTTATTACAAGAAAGATATTTTGAAAATTATTTGATTGAGCTAGAAAATTGCAGGAAATAATCAATATATCGATTCGATCATTTCGACGTTTTGAAAAAGGCGTTACGAACATATGCGATAGCGGCGGTGACGAATTGACTTACGTCACGCCACAGTGTTTTGAATTATTATAATAATTACATCAGACCTGAACATGACATGCTTTAATTAGTTAAAGCTTTATTAATTACTCTACGTATGACGTAATGTCAAATTCAGATTTTACAATATCTGAATTTTTAGTAACAAGTAACTTGCTCGATTGACAACATTCCGAAATTTAGTAACAAAAATAATTTTTAAATAATAATTAGATTAATCGCAATCGATGAGCATATACAATCTTTCCGACCGACAGACTTATGTCTCGGGATGAGACGACAAATCAGTCGCGAGCAAATGCCGCGTACGCGTGTAACGGAGCAGAACGGCCCTATAAAATGACTAATGATGTAAGGTGGGTGTAAAGTGAAGCGGCTATTGATTCGTAGACGCATAAATGACACGTCTATCGGCTACCGAGGCCACCAGTCATGCTGAGGTTTCAACTCTTAGCACGGTGAACCCCCAAATCTCCTCACTCAACGACCCGGTAGCTATAGAGACGATGATAAACGGTCCATAGTAGCTGTGGAAGCTGCGGTTTACAATTACCTAGTAATATCTTCTTGCACCCAAACCGCGCAAGAAGGGCGGGAGGGTGGT